ATATAATATATATATATAAAATACAATATATAATTGTTCATTTGCACTACTTGAAAAACTCAGCGAGACAATTATTTGGTAACTCAGTGTATCAAATACTAGCTGTACTTCAGAGAGTTGAAAAAATATTAGTATAAACTCAATGTTATTTCACTAAATGCAGTAATTACTACCATGTCAACAGAGCATCATTAAGGGTTCATCCCTTCACAGATGTTTAAACAACATGTGGTTAAAATGTAGCACATATATCAGAGCAGCTGACAACATGATACAACCAAGCCAGTATTTATTATCAACACTCAAGAGGAACCGACACTTGCTCTTTGTTTAGCCTCCTCTATACAGATGCTGAGTATTTGTAAACGTTCCTTTTACTGAAGATTTGTTTAAACCGAGGAAGAATAGTAAGTGCAGATGTGAAGCAAGTCAGGCAAATCCAAGAGCATCAGGCATCCCAGTAATCCAAAACGTGCTGCAAGGGCAGCCCCGCGCAGGGTCTGGTTGGTGCTTCTGGTGTTCACATCCTCTGCAGACATCCCCATGCTGCACTGCACTCTTGCGATGTCACACATGGAATGCTTCTCCAAAGACTAATAACCTTCCTCTAGTCAAAGCTGAAATCAAGCTATATCAATGTTGTTACCATCAAAAACAGGTCACTAAAATAAAAATAAAAGGCTCTACCTCTCCATGCCTGCCAGACATCTAAGTGCCCATGACATCTACGCAGCTGTGAAAGCATGGGTTCCTCCTCTTTCTGACTGTCTTGTTTTAGAGTGTAGCAAAGATGCAATTCAATCCACTTTTAAAATATAAATCCAGCATAAGGCCATTAGAAGAAACTAGATGGACAAACACCTATAAAGGCTACATCTGAACAGTAGGTACATTTAATCAGCAAAAACCTCCTGTTCAAGATACAGAATATAATTACACAGAAAAGAAAAACTTAAAAAAAAAAAACCCCAAAACAAAACAAACCCAAAAAACCAACCAAACAAAAAAGCAGAAAATCAACATGCCTTACCCATAGGTCTGTTTCTGTCCCTGAGGTCCCTGTGGTTGGGGTGTCTGTATGAGTCCCTGTAGTGGTGGGCAATGGCCATATCATCCAAACGATAATGCTGAGGTGGAGGTGGGGTGGGATGAGGCAGACCATTGGGCTGATAAGATAAGCCATTATTTGGACTGTACCGCTGGCCTGGGCTAATAGTGCAGGGCCGCTTGCTTGGATGCTCTGAGTGCAAAGGCTCTCTGTCAAAGCCATTTTCTTTGGTTCTGAAAAACAAAGCAGAGGAACTTTAATTCATTTAGCAAGCAGATCTGCTCAGGAACATGCACCCCCACCTACACGTGCAGTTTCAGGAACCAAAGCTTGTTCTTTCTCTTTGCTTCAAGTGTGTGGTGTTGCGGAACATTTCATAACACTGCTTGTTCAAAAAAGGACACAATCACCTTGTCTAACTATCCCTATAACTTGAGAAATATTTGCAGGCTTAAAGAGTTGGGCTGGAGAGCGAGCAGCATTCACTGAAATCACCCACTGATGGGATGGATACACACGTAATTGCAGAGCTGAAACAATCAACTGATACATGAAGTGAGAGACTGAGACATTCTACTTTCAATAGCTCTATAGCATATAGTGAATGAGGGAAATTTGCAGTTAAAACAAACGTAGTTTTTTCAAGAGGATAGCATACAGTCTTAAGGTAGTGCATGTCAGTGTGCTGCAAGTTGGTTGTAAGTAATGCCAGGACGAGTTCCCATCAAGATCAGTGTCACACTGGGGCAAGAATGACTCCAGATGATGAGAAATGCTTCCTTCAGAGATTTTTGTACCATCTGGGCTATTTCAGTCAAAGGTGCTGTGCCTATCATTAATTTTGCAGGAAGACATGGTTAGACTCAAGTTCTCATTAACATTCCAGATTTCCCACTCCATTACTCTTAGACAGGGGTTTTATGCTCAGGCAACTCTGAGGAGTTATCAGGGAGAAGGGCAGTTTTTTACATTATATATACTTGTTAATTCAATTCATAATCAGCTATTTGCAAAGAACTCTCCCCTTTGCACCTCTGCCTGAGAACCTAGAACTCACACTGAACTCATAACTCACACTGAACTTTTTTTTATTTCCATTAAAATAAAAAAAGAAAAGCTAGGGTTACTTCAGCCAGTTCACAACTCCTTTTAGGGAAGCTTTGTTTCACTGAAGTATGGGTGTTTCTTACCCCTGGAATAAACAAAATCTACAAAATATTGGTTTTGAACACAAAGCTTATTAGATAAAAATATTACAGACTCTTGAGGTTACATCCTTCCCTCGAAAAACCTTTATTAAACAGCTGATATATTCCAGCCTTTTTTAAAGAGAACTTTCTCCTCTGTGATTTATGGATGCCATAATATACCTTCCTAGTGATAACACAATTTTTTGTCACTTCGACAGGAAGGTAAATTTGATTTAATTTTCTTGTTTGCTTGTTGTTAAAACCAACTGCCCTTCAACAAACCCTCCCCCACAAACCAACCAACCTCAAGGGACTGTGGAGAAACACTCGATGTATTAATTGCTGCCCCTCAATAGGCTCTCCTTTAATGTCAATGAGAGGAAGAATGAAACCAAATCTTTGCCAATATCCACTAGTAGAGAGGATCAAAGTAAGATCTTGCAATTACCAGCAGGAAATGAAAAGATGGGTTGCACTATTTTCAAAAAGAGTAAAGAGATTTTCCAGGGACCTAACTGCAATCACTAATGCCAGAGAAGCTGCAGGTATATATAGTTTATTATACCTTAACTTGGCAAAGAAGGGAGAATCTTTCACCTATACAGCAGGACAGCTGTTCTAATTTTGGGCAGAGATATAAAAGACGTACTTTGTTAAAGTGGAGTATGTACCTTGTTCCAAAGCAAACGCAAAATGGCTGTGAAAACTCCTCATCAGGAAAACCTGAGGACCATCACATATTTTTAATGACTTTTGGCACAATGGAACTGCTTGCAATAACTCCCAGTGGGTAGTGATGTTTTTGACAGCTTTCCAAGACAAGCTTTGTATTTAGTTGCTGGTGTGTGTTTCCTTTACACATACCTACTCAAACTCTATATCCAGGTCCTTCTATTGTAAAAATACTATGCAAGCAAAGTATCAACTTTCCTGCATGTACCAGCCAAGATATTAATTTGCCAAAGTTCTTTAGTGTTACAGTTAAAATGATCTCTAATGAAGATGGGGGAAAAAAAAATCAGAAATTGTAAATAATTAAATAACTTCATTAACTTTTTTTGATCACTCAGTGAGGACAAATAATCCAGAAAACTATGACAAGTAGGAATACAGTTTTCCCTTTCTAAACTATAATTAGATGTTTAAATCATACATTTTCTTACAACGTACATATTTGCACCATATTATACAGGTACTTCTGTGGTTTTTTTAGGAATGCTTTGTACCTTATTAACTTAAGTGGAATGAACTGCATTAGCGTGGACAAAACACCAGCATATCAATTTTCTTCTAGAACCCCAAGTTTAACTAACATAGAAATTAACATTACTATTGAAAACACATTTACTGAAATTAAATTTCTATTTTTGCTATTATACTGGATAATGGCTGTTGGGTCTTTTCTGAGTGTTGAAACCTTAATCTTACAATTTGTTGTTATATTTTCTGCACTGGTCAAATTAACAGTTTAGCAGAATAACAGAATGAGGCCGCATATAAACTCATTTAGTGTTTTTGACCATCTAAAGTACATAAAAAACCCCAACAATTTCCAAAGTCTCATCACAACAGGAATCACTGGCAAATTTACTGTAACTGAATATAGTGAATATAGCAATAAAAGACAGACAGTCAAGTACCTAAGAGTATTATAATTCAGATGCCCTGAACTCAACCTACTATTTTGCCTTTGATCTCAGTTCTACTCCTTTCAGGTCTCACCCGCTTGGGACAGAAGCATTTCCCGAGGTGCCTGAAGCAGCACTCCTGTTTCACAGTAATTGGCAGATCCATGTGAGTACTAGTTCCAAATCCAAAACGCCCACAATTTTAATCTGATTTTCATCTGATCCATCTGATTTTGCAAAGCAACAACAAGCTGTAGAGCGGAAATAACATTAAATGTGTAGGAAGCCTAACTGACACATTTTCTTGTTTTTCTTTTTCTTGTTTTTCTTTTTCTTGCTCCTGTTGGTCACATTTTCCTTGATGTGCACATAAATCGACACTGTCATTTGGAAAATTGGCAATACAATAAAGATATGATAAAGATCCTTCAGTTATAAACATGCAAGGGGTCATTTTACTTGGAGCCATGATTTACTCAGATTAAAGACAGAAGATACTAGTCATTAGTTTGTAGCCATTTAACAGACTTCATGTTGTTTGCAAGTTACCATTTCAGTTTTAAATTGCTGCAATTTATGGATAATTTCCTGGCTAGGAAATTTGACCATGCAAAACTGCCTTGGCTGGAAAATTAAGTTCCACCTGATCAAGAGTATTACACCAATTTTAAAGAACACTGAAGTCAGCTTGCAAGAAGGAGGCAAAGCTGTTCATCTGCTATTTGTGCAAGATGCTTTGATTTAAATTGGACTTCCACCAATAGTCTTGATGACCAAACAAGTGATAATGCTTTGTTTATAATACTATGTTATTATAGTAACAAAGTAAAATACTTACTTTGTTTATAATACTATGTTAAAGAAAAGATTAATATTGCCTTGCTAACAGTTCATATTAAGAAAATTCTTTATAAATTCTTTATAATTACACATGGTTTACAAGGAGCATAGCTGTAAGAAATGTGGAGGACTGTCTTCAATATGAAGATTTACCTAATAGAATTATGAAAGTCAGTTTCAGTGTCTAGGTACCTTCGACACTAATTCCTTTTCAGGTGTGCCAAGGGTACAGGAAGCACAGCAGCACTTTCTAAAGTCACAAAACAATCATGGCTTTGTTTTGTTTTCTTCTCACTCAAAATTAAAGCTATTCTAACAGATTATTTTTTTTCTGTACTATATAACCACTTTGCAGACAGCTGTCATAAATGTAGAGTCACTATATGACATGCTCATGTGCCATACAGCCCATCCCAGCAAGCTCAAAGGATGACTAATTACCAAAAAAAGTCATTTGTGGTTAATGTATTTAAAATCATGTTATTTACAACGAAGCAGTCATTCACCAAAACAAAAACTCACATTGGTCCAAGTTCCTTTGCTTTACTACAGTAGAATGTAAACTCCAAAAGTTGTAAACAAAATATAGTGAACACTTTGTTCATGACATATCATGAACAAATTACCAAAATGTGTTGTCTCCTCAGGTGTCAGTTTTTCTCTCTTGCAGTGACTGATGGTTCCCAGTGTTATTACAGAAACAGATTGATCTTTTTAATGAGCTAGTTTAATAGACTCCAAAATCTCACCGTGGCTGCTCATCCGTGTCAGACCATATGCACCAAGAAAACATTCAGTAAAACACGAAGCTCTGCTGTCAGACTGCTCTATAAAACCTCACATACAGTAGACTTGGATACGCAGATAAATAACCAGAATTAGAAAATGCATAAAAGGTTCTGAAATTATAAGCAGAAAGAATTACTGTATGTGGATTTTCTTTAACAAAAAATCACCAGGTGGACGTGGTTATGTGCAACACACATGTTCCTCTTCCTTTGCCTAATCCCTTACTGTATATTACTTCTATTGGAATCTATTTTGCCCATGCCCAAAACAAAAATATAAATACAGACCAATGTGTCTATATGTATTTCTCATATATATGTGTATGCATCATACACACACACATCTATATATTTAAGAGATAGAGAGAGATAAAACATACATATTATATACAATGTCATTATATGTATTGTATCCCTTGGGAAGTGAAAAAGATACCACAATTTACTTTAGTGAGAGACTAAAATTATTGCAACTGCATTTAGTCCCCCTGGAAAGATGTTACCTTCTAGTCATTTTTTCCCATATTCTAGCAACAGAGTCACAGCAAGCTCTCCTCTTATCTTCCACTGTATTATTATTAGTATATCTGAAAACTACTTAGATATCTAAACAAAAGGTATATATATTTCCAGATGTTTCCTCCTGTTCCTCTGTAAACAATTAAAATAATTAATAGTGTAATGAGTATAAAGCCAGGCAAGTATTTGGTTTCAATACTCAGCCTAGGCATGCTCTGACTCTTTTTGTGGTTGATTTACTCACATTATCCAAATTAAAAGGTATGCAAACTCCCATTCAGTAATCTAAAAATCTTTCCAACAGGATCTTGCTCTTTTTACTAAATCTGTAGTACAAATGTTCCTGAGTGCACAAGACAACTTCACTGAACTTGGTTCAACCAAAACTACTGTATGAGTTTATTTTTTTCTGTATAGCTTTCAATACAGTCAATGGAGATGTAGTTATGACTAACCAGTGACAAGGTTGTTTGATATTGCAAAAAACAACTTATTTTTTAAGCTCAAGGCACTATTCCAATGGGTGAGCTGGGCAATCTCTTTCCAGGTCTCTCCTGACAGCAAAGAATCTCAGGGTCAAAAAAGAAAGGATGGGTTTTTCTGAAATGGCACTTCCCTAGAACTAAGGCAGCCTAATTTCAAGCAGGGATGAGCAGAGGCTGCCAGCTGCTGGCTTTGTCACCTCAGAGCACGAAGGCCAGCGGAACACCCCGCAGTACAGTCCCTCCCTGGACCCTGGGAATTCAACGCTGAGAGTTGAACTGCCTACCCCTCATCCCAAAAGCTGCATTATTACCTAGAGAGGAACTGAAGACTCCTCGAGCTGGACGGAGCCTAAGAAAGACTTCAGTCATGAAGGAAAAGAAAGTTGCTTGCAAGCAAAGACTTCCGAGTTTCAAGAGTACCTATGTATTTCAACTAAAAATAATCACTCAGAACAAAATCCACAAAGCAGACTTAAATCTCTCCAGATCTAGGCCTCAGTTTTAATTAAAAGATGAAGCCTGATTTCCAAATCCAATATTCTTCTGATCTGCCGGTCCCCTTCTGGGCTACTCCTATGTTCTTTTGCTATAAGACCAATTCAGGGTCTTTTCATTTCTAAGTTCTTGTACTAGTCTTTACCTGCACCATCCAATCCCTCTCATGCAACTAAAACTGAAGGTACCATAGTTGAGACCACACTTACTACAAAATAACCAAAATGCAACACTATCAAACTGGGTCTCAAAGCAGAGGAGTGTTATTCTAGAAGGCTACAGAAGAAAATAAAAGGAAATACTTTATTGCCCATTTTTCCTTTGTGGTCTTATGGGAGAAGTGAGTAATACCGCTCTCTATTAACAGGGAAAAAAGTAAGCTAGGGTTGTCATGAGAAGGCATATCCCTCTTCTCTGTACTCTCTGCCAAGCAAGACTTCATCAGCTTATGAGATAACTCAGTGTGTGTCTATCTACTTGTAAGAAAAATACCATGTCTGCTACTGACACTGGACTACAACATGCTGATATTTAAGTTCTTCGCAAGATGCACAAGATGTTAAGTGTTAAGAAGCCTTTTTTTATAGATGTTTTAGTACACCACTCTGCAAAGACTGAAGATATGCAGCAGAACTGCCCCAGGGAGCTAAATTTCAGCTTTGGAAATGTTGTCTCTTTGCATGGAGTAAAAATCTACATGGGAAATGTCTGAAAATTAATAATCTTTCTTGGATGCAGTTAGCAAGTTTGTATTAACACTGATGGCTGTTTCAGTTTGGTGTAGTTGTCAGGGAAAAATGGTGAAATGAGGGTATATGGAAAAGGGTTTCTCTGCTGGTATCTTTGTTTTCTTCCTGGTCCATAGGGATTTTCCTGAAACACAATCTAAAGTAAGCGAATTTCAAATACTTCCACATTTCCATCTAGCTAATGGCTACATTACTAATTTTTATTATTCACTTATGTCTTCGAGAAGCTTAAAGTATTACTACGAGTTTCAAACTTTGTTTTCTTTTTGGTTTTGTGCTATCTCAGCCTATTCCTACACAAAAATGTCACAAATTTGCAAGCCTTCTTGACTTTGCAAATCTTCACTTTTTTTGTTTAAAAGATAAATAGGACACTTGCCATGCCTTGTGCATGCGGGTAGCGGCATTTGGCAGAGCAGCATTACTAAAGTTTTCCACGCTATAAAATCCATGGCAAACAAAACTACAAAAAATCAAATACTTGGGCCTGCCAAAGGTAGCATTTATGTGCTAGCTGAATTTCTAACTCTTATCATGAGAGGACAGTTAAAAATAAATAAGCACAACAGTCATTTTCTTGTAACACTAAACAAAGAACTTCATTCAATTAAGAAAAAGATAAAACTGCTCCATATCCCTAAAGCTACTGTACTTCACACACACACACTCACTTGCCCTGTGTCTGCATGAACCCTTTCTCAGCTCAGCAAAAAAACAGATTTCAGTGAGTATTTCTTCTGTTTGGAAGAAATACCCTTAGGGATATTGAATACAAGGATATGGAAACACGGCACAGCAGAAGGGGTCAAAGTCCTGACTGCTCTCCGGAGCTTGCACGACTGTAATGAGGGCAAGACCCCCACCCAGGGAACACCATCCCAGTTCCCCCCAGGCACCCACCCACACACTTGGCCTTTGCTAGCGGAGCTCGCCACGTTGGACCCATGAGACATTTCTGAGCGGGGTGCTCACCTGTCTGGAGTTCGCCTCTTCCCGTTTTCGTTCACATCGAGAAGCAGCTCTGAGGAGTCAACAGGTGAGGTGGTGCTGGCATCCAGAAGCAGCTGTTCGTGCTGGGCGAGGTACTGGGCTGGGTTCTGCTTGGCTAGCCTTGCACAGTGCAGCAGCTCCCGCTGCAGCAGGGGCAGATTGGCCTGCAAGAGCATTCCACACGTTAAAAGGGAGGCTTGCAGCCAGTTTCAGCACAGATGAAGCAGAAAAATCAGAAATCAAAGGCAAGCTTGCTCTGGAATGAACCTGTTGCAAGTATCCTCAAAGAGGTTTGTTGTGGTTAGCTGCCTTGGAAAGCAGGCAGCCTCCTTATGGGGGTCAGGTCACAGCTGTGGTACGTATGCATGGAGGGGTGGAAGTTTGCTTATGGAAATGGAAAATAAAAATGGAAATGCTCTAAGAAAACTAGGTCTGAGCTCCGTATCTTTAAAAGTGAAAAAAGCACTGCCCTGGCTGACATTCTTACTCTCTCCTTTCTTACCATCTAAAACCTGAGTACCTATGGAGCAGCAGTTTTCAACGAGTGACAGACTTTCAATATCTGTTCTCTGTTCAGACTGCAGTTGGTACTTAAAATCATTCAAAACCATAGGATCCACAGCCCTATAAGTTGCCTCCATTACCATCCTTCAAGGGCCTTTGGGGAGAACAGGATTCCCTTCAGCTTTCCCCTTACTCTTGCAGTTATACATTAAGATAAAGATTACAACAAAATCTCATGTTCCAGAGCTTCAGTTAATCACACAGTGGGCTAAGACCCACCTCCTAGCCAGATGTACTTGAAGTATTTTTAACCTTCCTCTCAGGGCTCCACTGGGACTTGTGTCGTGGACTGGAGAGTACCAGGACTCAGGCACAGAGAACTGAAAATGCTGATTGATCCCTGGGAGGCACATTTTGCCCAGCTACTGGGGTCATACTTAGTCATACTTCTTGCCAGGTGTGGGACCAAGGTGGAACTGTATGACCTTCCCATTGGAGAAGATAGTCACATATCCTGAGAAACTTCTTCCTTCCTTTGCAGCATAGGCATACATTGATACTACAATAGTCCAGCCATTTCTTACCTACTTGTTTGTGCCATATGGTGATGTGCCCTGACCTCTCTTGTTCCATGCCTAGTGCCCAATGATTTGTTGCCTAAGGATTATCAACTGCTGTATTAAAATTTCATGACCTTTAGTAACTAGAGACAACACGAAGAGTGCCAATGGTCCCCTTTGCTTTGAAATAACTCCCGGGGTAAAAGGGGAGGGGGGAATCTTTATATTAAAGTCAAAAAGGTTCTGAAACTAATGCATGGGGAACAAAGTGAAAAAAAAAAAAAAAAAAAAAGAAAAGAAGCAGATGTTCTGGAAAGTTCTGAGCACAGGATCTTGGCAAATTACTTTGCTAGCATTATAGCAACGGCAAATGCTCCAGCACCTGTACCATAAGAGTAGATCCATTGTTCAACAAAAAAAATGCCAGAATAGGGTTAGTACATATGAAGCTTTTCAACTGTGAAAAAAACCCCAACAATTGTTTTCACTGACTCATTTTAGGATGGGAATACAGCCGATTGTGGAACAAGTCTTTTCAGACCTCCACAGAACACAAGTATTTTGTGAAAGTACCAATGAAATATCTTCTTTCAGTTATTAACTATCACATTTTTGTCCAGGGCTACCCCATAACAGAGAGAGATGCTTTTGTGAGCAGGATTTTTCCACTTATTTTAAATTGATTGTTATTTTTAAAAGCTCACACTGAATCTAAGTCAAGACATCCAGCTACGTAAACTGCCTCGTGACAGAAAATGATTGGAAAAGTTTACATATACTTACAAATAAATATCTGGAGGAAATACTAGGATCAGATCTAGGATTTTAATAGTGGTGTATACTTGGAAGATGAATAATCACATCTCAGAACTCCTGTGAGGTAGAAATGTGAAGTTCCTACTTTCCAGTTGAGAAATCAAGGAAAACCAACATATTTGCATTCTTTATTCACTAACTCAAACAAAAGGGACCTATTTCATACATGGGCAGTCCTGGCTCTGGCAGACAACCAAATTTTGAACTTGCTAGCAAAAGCCTTGATTTATTTTACTTGTTTTCCTTCTCCTAAATAAATGAACATTTTTGCTCTTTAACCATAAATATAAAGATTTACAGTTAAAGGTATCCCTTACTCTAAATGGATTGAACATGTTTTCTGTATACAGAACAGACGTGTAAAACTTTTAATGCATTTATTAAACATGGATTACTTAGTTTCTTAATTTTTAGAAATAATAGAAAACTATGAATGACATGCCTTGAAATCTGTGTTTATAATGGCATCAAGTAATGCTTGGACAAAGACTTAAACTCGAAAAAAGCAGTATTTGAAAACTTTTAGTTCAGCACAACTACTTCCAATCTGCTCAGCACATTGTGATAAACAATCTTTATCAAACCATATAGAAAAAATAATTGGTTTATTGGAAGAAAACAAATCGGGATCTCTCTATGGTTAGGTCAAATGTACAGTCTGCTTGCTTCTGGTCACCATGGCTCCAATACACAACAAGAAATAGTTTTTGGGAAGCTGGGTGCAGAATGAAGCACTGTCATTCTCCTTCCTGTGAGCAGGGAGAGATCCAGTTCCTAAGGCAACTCAAGCATACTCATACAGACTCTGAAGCCAAAATGGCCTTGGACATAACGGCTTATGCAGAAGTTGAGCTCTGACAGCAGAAGCAGTTCTGTCAATGTGCAGTAGCACATTTCTCCCAGCATTACTGCTGGTGCCTGCAGACAGACTTCTACACCTCTACATGTAAGAGATAAAAAACAGTTCTTGACCAGAAGCCAGATACATAGAATCATAGAATCACAGAATGGTTAGGGTTGGAAGGGACCTGAAAGATCATCTAGTTCCAACCCCCCTGCCATGAGCACGGACACATTCCACTAGACCAGGTTGCTCAAAGCCTCATCCACTAACTGCAAAAAAAAGTGCTATTACTGGCCTACAGTCCCCTAAAATGTTGCACTTCAGTGTCTGGATTATGCTCCTACTCTTGTTTTGGATTAGACCTTAAACCCTTCAAGATTTTGGTTGTCTCTTAGCCTCCTTCATCAGTTTTATAATCACAGATAGGATGTTTTTACCCAGCTGTCAGACATGTCTTCCACTTTGGAATGAACTGTTCTAACTAGAAAAGAAAACATAATCTCTGCACCTGCAAAAGAAGCTACAGCTCCAAAAGGCTGTTTTATCATTTCAGTGCTCACTCTGGGTAATTAGTTAATAATTTTCCATTGTTGGATGTTCCTACTTTCTTTGAAACTTCAGCAACAGAAATATTTCAGTATTATAATTTAAACAGGTTTCATTAGAATATAGTACAATTAGGCTTTTATGCAAGTTTTTGTAATTGCAAGTTTAAATTTCTTTACAGACACATTTAAAACAAAAAATATTTAAATTGAGACAAATTTTTGTTCAGATATCCTGAGTAACTCGAAATCATCAAATCATATATTGATACTGATGCTCAAAACAAATATGCACAGCACATCTATTGAAAAACAGTGTTGGCAGTACTAAACATGTACACCATAGAATCATAAAATGGTTTGGGTTGGAAGGGACCTTAAAGATCATCTAGTTCCAACCCACATGCCATGAGAAGGGACACCTTCCACTAGACCAGGTTGCTAATATACCACTTAAATTTAATAGACTAAATCCTGCTTGATATTAATATAGAAAATACGCACAAAAAGGCTCCCAGCCAATAAAGGTTTCTACAGGTGAATGATCTTATCTTCCTCTGAACCCGAACTGGTAGAAAGATAAGTAATTTGATGACTATTTATTATCTGTAATAGATCAGCACTCCCTGGCGTGAGACACTGTACAAACAGAGGGTGAGGGGTAGGGTAGCTCCTTTCCCAGAATTTTTTATTACAGAACCAGAAATATCGGCTTCTGACTGCAACATGCCATTTGGTAGACCTACCAATCTGCAGTGGACCTAGACCAGACAGGATATGCAGCATGCGAAAGGTTTCAAGAGAGTTTGAGTGACCTGCCTACAGGCAGGTAACA